TTCCCTTGGTGCATCTAAATGGCAATTGTATACCCTTGTACTTGACTGGTTTTGGCCCTGCTTCTACACTGTGGTTGTAAAAATGTGTTTATAGATGGACGTGTGCAGTATGGCTCTGTCCTGGCTAGGTATGTGTGCACCTGGGCATAAATCCAAGGAAAAGTATTTCTAGGATTGGGGAGAAAACTCTTCTATGCCTTAGCCCCAGCTGTCTCTCTTGGCTATCCATGGGGCCTGTTTCAAAAGGAGCTTTGGAGAACAGCCTGAATAATGTCTGACTTGTGGCATTGTGGTTATAGTGCTATGCTAGAAAGCCAAAAAGAAGAAAATTCTGGGCAACTGGAGTCCTAGAACTTGGGTATCTAGTTTACTGGGCAAGTGCCCTAAGCACTCAGTTACTGGGGCAAAATGTGGGAAGGTTCTCATCCTTCCTTTCTCCCACCAAAAAGACCTTATGCAGCCAAAAACCTTCTATTTAGATGTGCAAAGGGAAGTAGAATTCCACCTTAAGTAAAGAAGAGGCTTAAAATGGAAGGCCACGATGTGGAAAGAATTGCAAAGTGCTTAGTCATCTACCTAGTTAATTGAAATGAATTGGTTCCATTATAGGAACGATTACTGCTACAGGACTGCTCTGTCTGAATTATGTAAATACTTAATAGAAAAGGTGACGAGAGAGTTCTTGGATTCATAGCACAGCTCTTGAGTTTGGAGTGAGTAAATCCTGCTGTATGCTTGCCCTGTAAAACTTTGTAAGTTATGTACAGTTTCAGGCTCAATGAGACCCTGACCTGTGTAGGGCTTCCGGGTAGTATTGTGCTACTGCTACTAATAATAATTGACTTCCTAAAGGGGATCATAAGGACCTACAAGACTTCTCCTGTACAGATGAACTAATAGATTGTATGTAAGGAAGCATCAGTGCATTCATCTGAAAAAGAACGCTGACAATTTTTAACAGTCTGCCATGTAAATGCTTCCTTGCACTGTGCAACAGCCAGCATTTTAGAAATCAGTCGAACAAACCCTGCTTGAGACCTCTTAGTGAAGGGTTAAATCCATGAAAGACTGAGGTCCCTACAATCCTGGAGTGAAACCCAACAATTATTTATTAGGTGCCAAGGCTCCCAAGCCAATGTATGGGGAGAGATATGTGACTCAGAAAGGCAGCAATCATGAGGAGTCAAGGTTCAAGGTTCTCCTCAGCCTGGTGTGGTCTGGACTCATGGCTCCCACCTCCCAGAAAGCCTAGTCTTGCTGGGCAGAGAATGTGGGGGTGCACTCCATTCCCACTTTTGAGGCTGGAAGTTTGTGAACAAATATGCAAAGATTCATAGGGCCAAAAAGAGAGCGAGCATGAGGGAGCATGACAAGGGGTTAAAGCACCGTTGAATCTCCTCCATCCCCTAGGCTCTGCTCCCTACTTCTGGTAATGTTTGTATATATTATACTGAACAGTTACTGGATAAGAAGCAAAGAAAAAACGAAAAGTACTGCAGGGAGCCAAGTCCTAGAATTCACTCCTCCTGATGAGTGTCTTCATGATTATACTATGGAGTCGAGTCACTATGGAGTTGTTGCACATTTCTCTCCTTTGTCTCATGAATTTTCAATTCCCTTCTGCACAGTATAGGACCAGTGAAGGTGTGAAGAGTGCCTTTACAGCATGGTGATGAGGGCACTCTCCTATAAAGTGAGAATCATAGATTTGAAATCCCTAAGCAAAAGAGAGAAATTTGCTGAGTGCGTGCTTTAGCCAGTAGGCTATTACAGAAAAGGAAGATGGCAGCACCACCACATTTTGGGAGGAGCCTGTGAGTATACGTCAGCCTGGGTCTGAACGCTCCTTCCAAATCTGGCTCGGAGGCTGACTTAAGCAGAACGCTGCCTTGTTCCTGGATCCTGACTGTGCTCGGTATAACCTGGGTGCCCAGGTGTTCACAGTGAGACAGTTCTGGGCACACGGGGAAACAGAACTGCAGGCACTTAGGAGATGAGATTTTTCAGGTCAAACAAGGAGACATCTGCTCTTCATAGTTAGGGAGTCGCTGGAAATGGATTTTTTTAAAGCAATTTTGGATTTAGGCTCCTAAAACCAGGCTAGGTGGCACATAGGCTCCTAAATCCTGAAAGACAGATGTTTTTGTTCACATTTTACACTTTGGGAAAGTGAAGCAGAAAGAGGTTGTTAAATTATTAGTCCTGTGTCACAGCAAGTAAAGTCTGAAATTCAGGAGTGCCCTTAAGGAAACTACCATGAGGAGCTCAGTATAATTAACCAGTGAGAGATCTAACAAAATGCCTGGATAGCTCCTTTCAGTTAGACTAGAAGCTCTTACAAATATAGTTGCTGCTAGGTAGATTCAGTGCTGCAGAAAGAACAGTTTTGGAAACTTCCCTGAGATGCAGAGGACCTAAAAGAATATCCACATGACGCCTAGGGCAATGAAGCTGAAACGATAAAATATTCAGGAGTAATATATACAACTTGGCTTGCGTGGTGAGGTAGTGCTGGGACCGCTTCACAATGGGATGAATAGAGAGCATATTGAACTATGTTTTCTGTAGGATATTTGGAGTGTGTAATGCATGAGTCAGGGAACATGTCTTCTGCTATGTTTGTACAATCCTGCATATACAGTTTTGTAAAACTAAAGTAAATGTTAAGCAAAATTCAAATCCCTTGCTGAAATGGGGGAGATGGGAATTATTTATAGCATAATTCAGGCAGGTGTAATTAATGTCAAGTAGTGAAACCTTCCTGTCTGGCTGGTCCATCTGTTTAGAGTTATTTTAAAGATGCATTAAAATACTGTACATAGGAATTTTTTACATATTTTAATGTACCTTTTCCCCCAAACATTTTCAGTTCCAGTGATATTTTATGCTCAGCACTTAGCATGTGCCTCAACACAGATATCTGCAGACTTAAATAGTTTACCACAACGTGCATTTCTCCCTTGGCCTGACACAGCAAAATATGTTTATGTCCTCCCCTACTTAACAATACATTTAGATATGGCCTTTAAGTAATTTGTTAAAAGGCAAGGAACTGTCAAATCTTGGTCTGTAAGTTGAATACCTCCAGTGAAATGGCCCCATTGAAGTAAAAAGAAATCCTGCCATTGACTTTATCGTGGCCACTTTGCATGCCTTAATCTTATGTGCGTCTTTATCCTGTCTTAACTTGAGGTGCCATAACTGTCTTATGACTTTGGCAGGTCTGAAATATGCTTGTTCATGATATGTACATTATTAACTTATGATCCTACAATCAGAGATGCCACTGTGTATGACAGACTTTGCAGCTACAAGGTACTTTTAAGTAGGCTACATCTCACTTCAGGACTGGAATTCAGATAAGCAACCATGTGTAAGACATTGTATACATCTGGAAGTGCCATAAACACCTAAGACATTAGCTTTACATCTCTTCTGAAAGTCAGTAATTACAGCAGCCCAGAACCTCCTAACACTGTCACATTTAAGTAATCCCAGTTCAGATGAAAGAAGGGTATATATTGAGTTAAGTAATGAACAGCAAACACTTCTTCAATAGACGCTCTTACCCCAGCACTGAACAAATTGAAATGAAAAAAAAAAAACCCAAAAGCTATGCCAACCAAGTCAGTGAATCTGGGGGTTAATTATTAATTTACTATTTAGTTTGTTTAAAAAAATCACAAAAATATCTATATGCAAAATCTTTGGTCATGAATGAAGGTCATGTGTGTTTGTGTGTCCATATATTTTATAATATTTATATCTTGTATATAAACAACTTTCATAGATGGCTAGATCTTGGACTTAGGCACCAAAATTTTACTCTTGTCCCATAATAGATGCCTCAGTCCTTTGTGGGTGTGAACCTAGGTGATATATAGATCACAGACCTACAAAGGAATGAGGTACCTAATATGGGACTAAAGTAGAATTGGTGCCCAAGTCAAAGACTGCGATCCTTAAAACACCAACCTGACATTCTGTAATCTTGTGATTCCCAAAGGTGTGCACAAAAGCAATGGAAGTTTGCCACAAGCTCCCCATATGTGAGGAGGTAAATGTTCTCCTTCCCTATCCAGCACCCTGCACCTCTTCCAGCTACTCTGGCAGTGCCTGTGGCTGCTCCTTGGGGACTGCCATCAGTGACAGCTACTGCTTTCACCCACCCTGCAGGCCCTCCCCATGCTAGCTCTCCCATGCGCCCTGCAGCATCTTCCGCTGTGAGGTGGCAGG